GTAAACTGGAGAGATGGCTAAGAGGTTGAAAGCACTGGCTGTTGTTCTTCAAGAGGTCCAGAGTTCAATTCCCAGCAACCACAAGGTGGCTCACTACCATCCATAACGAGATTTGCTCTCTTCTGGCGTGCAGGAACATATGCAGGCAGAACACTATATGGATAAATAAATTTAAAAATTAAAAAAAAATAGGCGGGCTGGGCGTTGGTGGCGCACGCCTTTAATCCCAGCACTAGGGAGGCAGAGGCAGGCGGATCTCTTGGAATTCGAGACCAGCCTGGTCTACAGAGTGAGTTCCAGGATAGGCTCCAAAGCCACAGAGAAACCCTGTCTCGAAACCCAATCCCCCCCCAAAAAAACCAAACAAACGAAAAAAAAAAGTTGTAAAATTTAAGGAGAGATCTGTGACATCGGAGGGCCACTGCAAACTTAAACAAGTGTTGAGATTAAGGTCATCAGGTTACCAAATTATCAGTGTTCCTCCGCTTCCCTGTCCAGCCACTTCTTTCAGGGCTACACAAGACAAACTAGCAGGCTTTTCTGTGGAATGGTCAGAGTCACAGAAAGGGATTCCAATAAAAATCCCTTAAAACAAAAGGGCCAGATTGGACGGCACACGCCTTTAATTGCAACTTCAAATATACTTCCTTAGGTCATAGCTTAAATCGGAGTCGCCAACCCAGGAACCGGAACACCAAGCGAAAAGGGCGGGGCGCCGTCTCTGCCACGTAGCCGGGGAGGGAGGAGCCGCTGCAGTATGGCGATGAGCCGGTCGTCTTACTTTTCCTTCCTGAACACGTACTAATCTGCCGAGGAGCCTTTATTAAAACCCAGTAAAGCTTACTTAAGAACGCATTTGTTCAGCAGTCGCCAAATTATGTTCCGTGGCAGAAGAAACGGCGACATTGCGACTTACCGCGCCCAGCCCCTCCCACTACCTGGTGACGCCATCTTTGAGCAGCAGGGAATCATGGGAACCCCCGCCTTGCTCTCCGGGTATTT